AAATAGAGACAGTGACACCTGATGGGTGAGCACTCATCTTTTACTTCTCATGGTAAAGACATCTTTCTCATTTGTCTTCTTTTATGGCTCAGAGTGGCATGTGACAACTGGTAGGCGCTGGGGCTCAGCTGCAAGAGCTTCAGGGATTCTGGCGACAATGGAATGAATCGATTTGAAGAATCTATTGTTATTCAGTATCGATGAGGGAAAGCCTTCAACATTCAGTGACCAAAGAAAAATAGTGTGACATACAGGGAGTATGTTTCTGTAGTAAGGGAAAATAGAGAATTCATAATGAAATCATTTTAGTCAATTAATAATTTAAGAGACAAGTTTAACACATCCTTTGCCTTTGATGTCAACTAGAGTTTAACATATTAATTGCCCCGATCGGATGTGAAATAATGCAAATTTAATCCTGAGCCTGCTCTTTCCTATTTGCCTTAACTGACAAGTCTTTTATGCTTTTCTAGTATGAGATTTTTCTCTTTAAAATATTTATGATTGTGCCAGATATGTGTAGATTTCTTTAAAAAAAGAACCTCTCATTTTTCAAAGCAATTAAAAAGTTAGAATATGTCCCATTAAAATTCAGGACTAAAACTTGTCATTAAATGGAAATAATCTGTGTGCTGAATACCAAAGGAACTGAGCTGATAATGCTTGAGTCCAGTTATAGCATAGTGACAAGACACCAGAGGCTGAAATGGAGTGATGCTGGAATTCTAAAAAGCCAGGGTGAACTTCATCTGCATATATGAAAAATGGAATGAGGTTTAAATTTTTTTAAAGAGTATTTTGAAATTCAGGTTGAGCCAATGCATGCAAAAAAAAAATGGAAAAGTGCTTGGAACAGCATAGAGGATAATAGAGAAGATGCAACAAAAAGAGATGATCTGGGCGTTTGTCCCCTGAAATAATGTCTCCATTCTATTCAGGGAGGGATGCTGCCTTGCAGAAGGTATGCTGAACAGAATGAAATGACAGAGATTGGCACCTTCTTTGCAATTAGACCTGGGGAGTCAGAATGAAATACTGGAGGGACCTTTAATGTTCTCATCCAATGCCTGAAGAAAAGATTTCGATGACTATCCTGAACAGGATTTGGTTGCTCATTGGGTCTCAAGCAATTTACATACAAAATCTGTTCTGTCTCTTTCACTTCTCTCAGATCATTTATCAGTTTCTAAAAAAATAAAATTCTGGGAGCATTTTGGTTTACTGTCTGTGGGTTCTTTATTATGTTCCTGCTATAATCCCTGTCTCCCTGGGTCTGCCACATCGTTAAGTCATGAAATTCCTGGAAAGATGATCTGCAGCCTTAACTGCACATGCCTTATGTGAGTACTCACTCTTGGGATTAGGATTTGGATATAAAAATGCTAAGATATTAACCAGCTCATTTTGAGATGCTAAATGTATCAAAACCAGTAGCTGACTGAAGAGGCATTGTCCAAGAGAACACATTTGGATATAAAGGTTATGTATTTAAATATTCTGTTGGGATCAGAGTCAATGCTACTTGGCTGCTTCATGTTCCTTTCCTGGGACTAAGACATTCAGGAGAAGTGAGAGTTGGATCTTCTGGTTTTGATATTATTAGTGATGTAGGTTAATTGTGCAAAATGATGAGTTTCATGACAGTTTTGCACATGTGTATACTTATTTGATCATGCTAGAAATGGGAACTTCTGAACATGAGCCTCCGTGGACTGCTGTCTGAAGTTTAAAAAGGAGCTCACATCTCTGCTGGTGAGGGATGCTCTACTCCTGTTCCCTTCCTCCTAGTCACCTGGAGACAGGTGATTGTCAGCTGCTAATGCACAAAGAGTTCGTTCTTAAGTCAGGGTGATGAGCGAGGGAACACCAAGGGTGCTCCTCATTTCACAGATATTCATGGAGACAAGAACGTGTGAGGCAACATGAAAGGCACTGTTGTCAACACAGGCACAGGGGCTCTGCCCCTGAGGAAACTGACAATCCAGTAAAGACTACAGATAATAATAATAGGGTTATCATGAGGCCAATGTTCAAAAAACTTCTCCCCAATCAAGCTCTAAACCAACCAAGAGACAAAGGTATAGAAAACTAGAATCAAAAGACAACTCTGCATGAGTTTTTGATTAATATAGCTTAGATATGAAACAGCAATGAGATTCCTAATAATAGTAATTCCATACTCAGAATTAGATGGGTGTGTCCTCCATGTCACAGTCTCCCCAGCTGGCCTCTTTGGGGTGGACCCCATGAACGCTTACTATAGATACCAGCCTTTGTCTCCTGAAGAGTTGGTTTCTGAGCGGGAAGCCATAAACACCTAATGAAACATTCCAACTTTCCCAGTCAGATAAATTCCTTCTTCCCATAGAAGATTATGTTATCAAGATATATTTCTAACTATATCTTTTAGACTTATCTTATGAAGCCTCCCAAGTAAGAGATCTAGAATCAACTTTTGCTTTTTTGAGCTATGTATAGTTCAGCAGTGCCTTCATTTTCCTGACTTATGTTCTCCTGACAGGCTGTGCTTTCTCATAGGATCAACTGAAAATTTTCTTGTTCTACTTTTGTGTGTGTGTGACAGTTTCATACATATACACAGTGTATTGTGATTATGTTCACCCCATTACTCTCTCTTCTTCCTTTTCCTTGAATACCCTTTTCTTCCTAACAAGGTCTCCCCTTCTTTACCCCAGTCCCCACTCTGTTTCTGTCTCCTGACCCACAAAGTTTAATTAGGGTTGTTTTTATGAGCTCTGCCAGGGGTTTATTTGCTGAAACATGGGCAAGATCCCAGTGGCTACACCACTGAAGAAAATGACATCTCCTCTCCTGGCAACCATGAACCATCAATAGCTCCCCAGAAATGGGTGGGAGCTCATGAGTACCTTCCTGATCCATGATGGAATGAAAAAGGGCCCAATTTTGTACAGGCCTTGAGCAGTAACTTTGGAGGAAAAGGGTCCCAAGAGCAGGCAAAAGAGTCAGAGAGACCCCCCACTCCCACTGTTAGGAGTCCCACAAAAACAACATGCTAACAACCACAACATACATGTAGAGGATCTAGCACAGACCCTTACAGACTCTATGATTGTTGCTTCAGTCTCTGTGAGCCCCTGTGAGCTCTGGTTAGTTGATTCTGTGGACTGTGTTCTCCTGGTGTCCTCAAATCCTCTGGCTTCTACAATGCGTCCTCCCCCTCTTCTGTGGGGTTCCCTAAGCTCTGTCTAATGTTTGGCTGTGGTTCTCTGCATCTAGTCCCATCAGTTGTTGTATGAAGCATCCTTGATGATCATTATGCCAGACTCCAATCTTTGGGCATAGCAGAATATCATCAGAAATCATTTCTTTTCATTGACTTTCTTTTCTTTTTTTCTTTTTGCCAGTCATGTTTGCTTCTATTCTAGGTCACTGGGTTATCCAGCCTCCAGTTCTTGGCCATCCAGCCAGTGTCAGGCATGGGCTCCCTCTCCTGGCATGGGTATCAAGTTGGACCAGTCATTGGTTGGCCACTCCCACAAGTTCTGAGCCACCATTACCCTAGCACATTGTGCAGGTAGCACTGGACACCTTGCCTGGTTCAGAAGAAGGCTGGTTCAGACTCCATATCCTCCATGACTAGGAGTCTTCACGAGGGTCATTTTCATAGATTCCAGGGAGTTTCCACTGCACTAGATTTTTACATCGCTCCTGAAATGCCCACCCCTCCCATTCCAGTTTCTCTTCCAGTACTCTCTCCGTCCCCTCACCACTGCCTGATCCCTCCTGGTTCCACCCCCACTTACCCTAGTCTGCCTGTGAAATCTGTCCTATTTCCCCTTCCCAGGGAGATCTGTGAATCCTCCTTTGAGCCTTCCTTGTTACTTAGCCTCTCTGGGTCTGTGAATTTCATGGTTATGATTTACTTAACAGCTAATAAGTTCTTCACTCCATTCTCCATTCAGGAAGCAGAAGAAACTGGATGATTGACCTTAAAATCATGCAATTAGTCAATAGGATTGAGAAATCACCCCATCATTTGTTCTGAAGCTGGCTTTTAATTTTTTGACCCAAATTAGAGATGAGTAGTAGGCTTTGTTAATTACTTAATAAAAAGACCTAGGCTCCTTATTATCAAAAAAAGATGTGCCACATTATCGGATTACTTCAGCCTTCCTAATAGAAGTGAAATTAACTGAAGAATGAAAATCAAACACATTTTTGGCAAGCAGAATCAAAAAAAGATATGCCTAAGAGTGACTAAGGCATTAACACACAGACCACACAGAAACTGAAATAAGCAGAATATGTGATGGTTTGAATAGGTATGGCCCTCGTTGACTCATGTGTTTGAATGCTTGGCCCATAGGGACTGGCACTATTAGGAGGTGTGGCCTTGTTGGAGGAGGTGTGACCTTGTTGGAGGAAGTGTGCCGCCATGGGAGTGGGCTGGGAGGTCTTATATGCTCAAGATATGACTAGTGTGATACACAGTTTCCTTCTGCTGCCTGTGGATCAAGATGCAGAAATCTCAACTCCTTCTCCAGCACCATGTCTGCCTGCATACCACCATGCTTCTTGCCATCATGATAATGGACTAAACCTCTGAATTGTAAACCAGCCCCAATTAAATGTTTTCCTTTATAAGAGATGCTGTGGTCATGGTGTCTCTTCACAGCAAGAGAACCCCAACTAAGTCAGAAAGTAAAGGTAAATAGATGGGCACAAACTAAAAATGGGTCTAGAAGCCTGTGGGCTAGCCTGGAATAAATACACTGCAGAGCAGAAACAGGAAGAGAGACCCACCTCAGTCTCAACAAGATGAAGGTGAGACTGGGCTCAGAAAGTCGTCCTCTGACCTCTACAGCATGTCATATCTGCAGTCACACACAAAAAAGAAAGAGGAGGAGGGAGGAGAGGAGGAGGGAGGAGAGGAGGGAGGAGGGAGGAGAGGAGGAGGAGAAGGGAAGAGGAAGGAGAGGAAAGCAACAAAAAGCAAACATGCAGATTTTTTAATTTTTTCTAAAAAAAAAAAAAATAGAAGGCCTTTCCCATCTTCACCTTTTTAGACTATGGTTTTGTGCCAACAGTGGCCTACTGAATGCTGTGCTTCAGAAAGATGCAGATTTGCCCCATCACAGATACCTGGAAAAGCAGACGCAGTACTTAAATGGAAAGCTGCAGGATTCTGCAGAGCAGAAGGCATGGGAGAACAGACCATAGCGTGTGCTTCCCGAAGGTAGGCTAGCCCAAATTTGTCTCAAAGTCACCAGTTATCCAAGTGTGCTCTGCTAGCAGAGAAATCCCTCAGTGTGAGGGACTGGGAACTCTCCACAGGAGAAGAGATTTCCTCCAACAAGGAGGTGCTACCCGAACAGGTGTCCATTACAGCAGTGGTACGTGAGTAACTGTGAGAATAAACCCAGTAAGTAGCCTTAGTGCTGAAGAAATTAAAAAGGATGAGATGGTGTGTGTGTGTGTGTGTATGTGCACTAATCCCGTTAGATTACAGAAGCTGGGTGATATAGAACAGAGCAAGGACTTCTCGGGACGTCTTTGGCAGAAAAGCTGCAGACAGTGTCCCCTCAATTCTACCACCACAGTTCCAGCTTCTTCATTCTCCTCTTACCTGGCTCCCTTCCCTACTAACAAGTTAATTCCATCTAGTATTTCATAAAATATCTCTTATAAAATATAGTATGCAAGTGGAGAAGGACAGGACATCAACATCAATCCAACATATTTTCTATGTTGTCTTCCTAATAATTATACCCCGGGGTTTTGGGTTACAAGGTCAGAAGGCTGGCAGAGAGCTTGGCACACCCGGTTTTCTTGTGGAATCGTGTGGGATGAGGTAATAGAACAAGGAGCAATCTGGAGATTAGTAGTTTCCTTGAGCGGGACTGAACGTCCTGGAATCAAATGACAGTCTATATTTTTCTTAAGAAAAGCCATCCATTCTTGGGTTTAGTATCTCCCCACAGAAATAAATAGAAATAATTTTTAGTGCAAAAATGTGGTACCATACAAATATACAAATATTCTACCAAATTAGGAAATATCAAATAGGAAAAAACATGTGACTTCACTAAGGTAAAATCTTTTAAAGGATGTATATTCTAATAGAATGGCATTTTAGTTTCTCTTACAATATTTAGTTAGGTATTGTGAAAAGACAAAAATCTAGACAGGATATATGCAGATTTCATGTATTAAAAATTCATTTGAAGTGAGCGTGGAGGGGTGAGCACACTGGAATGTTAATCATCTTTAAAGGCAATGTCTTCTTTCTTAGAGAACGGCTCTCATTTTCAGGTTTTGCCTGGATCTTTGTCTCCATGGCTCATTACTTCCCACACCTGGAAACTTCTATACCAGACCTTTGTGACTTATGGAGGTGCCCATGAAGCAGCCCTGTCCAGCAGCTGGACTTTAGCTTGGGAATCAGACCCTAATTGTCCCAATGCTGATAGCTAAGTAGCTGGACCTCTGAGCCTCGGGGATTGGTCTCATCGGACCTAGTCTCCAAAATGAGGTCCCACTTGGTGCTCTTTCTTTTTTCTCCCTGGTGCAGGTCACAGACCTCCTTATGCTTTCCTAATCCTTGATTCCTCCTTAAACATAAGGAGACTCCTTACCTTACAGACTCTGTGGCAAGGATTCAATGACCTGTAACACATGCAGTACCATGCTGAAGGCAGGCACTCAACATGGGCTCCACAGCGTCCCTTCTCTGCCTAGGTATTTACTGGGGAAGGCCAAGGTAGTATTGTAATCATCAAAATCTGAGTGTGACTAAGCTGTTTGGCTAACTAGCATTTAGACACGCCAGTCTTCTGCCAATGCAGAAAAGGATGTCTCAGGCAAATGTGCTGCATCCTTTGCTTAGGCTAGCGTGATAGTGGATTGAGAATTAGATGCCCCAGTTGAACTTAGGGGCTTGTAAAAGCCACTGCAGAGGTGACCACAGGAAAGGATATCCTGGAGACTTCAGCTCCTTGCTCATTTGTCTTTCAATCAATACCACTTCTTTTTTTTCCTGTTCTTCTTACCCTAGTGCAGATATTATTTTAGCTTCCTACACCTCCTGTAGGTTAAGGATCCTCTCTGAAGGTCAGGCAGTTCATTTAAAAATGTCTTAGTCTATGTTTCAAGAGCTGGTGAAGATAAAATATGTTGGTAAATCTAAAATATCAGATCTCAATCCAGTTTGTTTGTTCTAGAAACTCTTTCACACAAAATTTATTTAAGACCTAAGACAAATGATTTTATTTGTTTATTTATTTATTTATTTATTTATTTATTTATTTATTTATTTTTGTGGTGCTGGGGTTTTAATCTATGGCCAAGGTCAAGGTCAATGTGATCAGTTTCTGAACTACTAAGGTAAAACCTCACCTCCTCAAAAATTATATGTATATATATACATGTCTGTATATATACACATACATGTATATATATACACACATACATGTATACACACACACACACACATATATATATGTTTGAATGAGAATGGCCCCCATGGGCTGATCCATTTGAATACTTGATACCCACTTGGTGGAACTGTTTGGGAAGGATTCAGAAGGTGTGGCCTTGTTGGAGGAAATGTTTACTGGGGGTGGGCTTTGAAGTTTCAACAGCTCATGACAAGTCCAGAGTTTCTTTCTTTCTGCCCGTGGACCATGATGTACCTACCAGCTATTGGCTCCATGCATGCTACCAAGCTCCCCACCATGAAGATAATGGACTATAAGTCTGAAACTGTAAGCAAGCCCCCAATTAAATGCTTTCTTTTATAAGAATTGCCTTGGTCATGGTGTCTCTTCATAGCAATAGAACAATGACTAAGACACATACCCACACAGACATACAAACATATATGTCATATATACACATACTCACTGGATATATCTATAGGTAGTTTCTGTATTAGAAATTAAAACAGAGGTATTTTCATATTTATGAGTTATAAAAATAAGAACATGCACATTACAGGTGAACATAAAGTTTTAAACTAAAATGATTTTTTTTTTTCAAAGAAGCTTTAGAGAGTGGTAACATCCCAACTCTTTTTATATGAAGAGAAGACATGTGGCTTATCTTTCACATCAACACTTGATATAACGCAGTGAGCTGGTTTGTTTGACACATGAGGAGGACACAGTCTCACATGGATACACTGCTGGAAAAGTGGAAACCCTGAGAGTCGATATCAATACAGTTTATAAAAGATTACTTATGCCGGGCGGTGGTGGCGCACGCCTTTAATCCCAGCACTCGGGAGGCAGAGCCAGGCGGATCTCTGTGAGTTCGAGGCCAGCCTGGGCTACCAAGTGAGTTCCAGGACAGGCGCAAAGCTACACAGAGAAACCCTGTCTCGAAAAAACCAAAAAAAAAAAAAAAAAAAAAAAAGATTACTTATAATCTAGAATCGTTTAAAAAAATGTTCTTAAAGAATTGACTTTGTTTTAAATCATGCGTATACATGTGTGTCTGCATGCTCATGTGTGAATGCAGGCTCCTGCAGTGTCTAGAAGAAGGTGTTAGATCCCAGAGAGCTGGAGTTACAGGTGATTGTGAGCCGCCAGACATGGGTGCTGGGAACCAAATCCAGGACCTCTACCAGAGCAGCACATGCTCTTAGCCACTGAGCCATCTTTCCAGGCCTATAGACTAGAGTCTTAAACCCTAGCAGTGAACGTTTTATGCTTTGTAACATTAAGATCCATTTCACTCTCTATGAATTTTCCACTCACACCTGAGTTTTTATATTGTACATGGCTTATTTGAAAAATACTGATCTAGTGAGTTATCAGCCCTTCTAAGAATTGATATTTTATTACAGGACACTTAAAAATCATTCCCCCCACCCCCAGATCACTACCCTTCAGATCAGAGTAGTTTTTATATACTGGAAAGCTATCAAGCTCATGGTGATAGATGGAAGTTTTCAAAATTCTAATTCTTTTTCTTGAACGCTCAAGTGTTATCAGCGGCTATGGATTTTGTTAGTTGTTTTCTGGAAGTGACAGTTTTCTCTTGCACATTTCCAGATGACACCTGTCAGATACCCCTGTCTGAAAACCGTTTGTCAGCTATTTTCTTTTGAGTCCAACTGGTGTCCCATAGAAAAGCAGGATGCACAGCGTGCAGCGCAGACACACGAGTTCTGGTCAACGTGCCCATTGTCAGCACTTTCATTCTTGTCCTATCGAATCTTACGAAGCATCCACTCGAGGAACAGTTCAGTCAAGTTTTGATTAAAAATCTACGTACTTCAAATAAAATTTCTTAAAATTAATTTTGCTCCATCATTAAACACATCTTTAGGGGGATCCATTTCTTCCTTTCTTTTCACATGTAGTCCATGTCTACAAAAAATGAAGTGATGGGCCGGTAACTAACTCAAGGATCTGTGTTTCTCCCCATCATTGGCTCCCTACTCCTCCCAAAGTACACTCACAGTTTATTGGTGGAAGTATTAAGGCAACTCTACGTGGTTAAAAGGGAGGTTTATTATGTGGGGTAACTTACAAGTAAAGGGATAGGTAACAGGGTCCGGGAAAGGTGTACTGCAGTCCAGCAGTGTTCTCTGGAGAACTCTGCTCAGTCTACCTCCAGAGTCCAGGATCCAGGAACCAAGAGAGCCAGCACATCCTGATTTCAGGTCTTAAGGGCTCCTGTCCCCACCCTGCCTTGTAGGTGTGACAGTTACCAGAAGCCTAAATGGGGGTAGTACTTCCAGGACAAAGCTGGAACAGCTACCCACTACAACAGTTAGTACATGTTTAACTTGGTGCCTCTTCTTGGTGCCGTTACCCTGACTGGTGCATGCCAGCCTCTTACCCTTGATGGATTTACATCATGAATACATATGCCAATGTAACAAAGAATGGTAATCAACTTCTTAGCAAATTAATTTTGAAATCGCAGAGCTTCTAAAAGGATCTTGAGGATTTCTGGGGTTCTTGAACCATATATTTAATTGCTAATGTATGCTTTAGAAATTACATGGCCGAATCCAGAGTAGGGCCTTAGTAAGGAACCCTGATTCCATTATGATGACCCACAAACTTTATAAAAGAGTGAGATTATGTACATGCCTGTGAACCAAAGGGTACACAGATCTAGGAGAAAAGTCCTTTGTCCAGGCTTTTAATTTTAACCTACGCGCTTTGGTCCATCATTATTTCTGTAGTCATAACTTCTGAGATAAAAATCAGAGTTCCTTTATTGTCATTTAAATAAAGTACAAATAACAAAGCCCTCCCACCTGGAACAATGGATGTCACTTATTCAAAGGTTGCTGTCCCCAGGTAATTCTCTATGATCATTTGGGTTGCAGAGGCTCATACTAGCAGGAAGCTTCACAGTGGAAATGAGGGGGGCTTGAAGTTAGTGCTGAGCAAAGGTTGATAGCATGAGGAAGCTGGGGTAGGCTGACCAGAACTGAGCTTCAATGATTGTTTTGGAGAACATATTAACCTTTTTCTGCTTGGTCCTGAGTTGGAAATAGGCATGAAAATATGGCAGCTGACCATCACTGACTGGCATAGTTACTTCTAACCATCAACTTGACACAGTCTAGAGTCATCTGAGAAGACAGTCTATACTGAGCAATTGACTACATCAGATTGGCCTGTGGGCTTTTTGGTAGGGTATTGTCTTAGTTAGGGTTTCTATTGCTGTGAAGAGACACCATGACCCCGGCAACAGGAAGTGGTCTGGGACACTGGGCATATATGAGAGCTCAAAGCCTGCCTCCATAGTGACACACTTCCTCTAACAAGGCCACACCTCCTAGTAGTGCCACTCTGTGGGGGCCCACAGAGACTCCATAGTGAGGCCTCATTCCATCTTGATTCGGGGTCAGAGAGTTTGAGTTTGCTTTGCCCCAAAAGGCTGCAGAATAGGATGTTTTGGCCAAAGACGTGGATACCAGGTGTCTTATACTTCAAGGCCTAATTACAAAGTGCTTTCCCTTAAGGCATGGTTATCAGGTGTTTTGAAAATTAAGGAAGAGTCGACACTTGTTTGTACTTTGTACCTTGATCTTGAAGAGGGGGATCTTTTGCCTCTCCCCTTGCTGGTGTATAAAAAGCCCATTAGGTGACTGTGGTATTGACCCAGAGTCCTCCCAAAGCTATCCTGTGTCTCTGTCTTTTTCTTCGTCTATGTCTCTATATTGCATATCTATTATTTCTTAATCCTCATTTCTCCCTTCAAGGATGGTTAGACAGGTTGGGCTGGTCCCTGACACCCCTCCTTTGAGGGCCATTTTCTTTCAAACCACCACTGATAATGATCATTAATTGATATAGAAGGGCACAGCCCACTGTGGACAGCACCGTTCCCTGTGCAAATAGTCCTGGGCTGCATTAGAAAACTAGCTGAGAATGATTCTTTGAGTGAGCCAGCAAGCAGTGTTCCTTTATGGTTTTGGCTACAAATTACTGCCTTGACTTCCTAACCTGACTTCCTTCAAAGATAGGCTATGACCTGGAAGTGAAACCTAAATATATGTGTTCCTCCCTTGAATTGCCTTTGGTCAGAGTGTTTGTATCACAGCCAAAGAAATCAAACTTGACCGCTGACCTCAGTCATTCTTGATTATCATTGTCATAAATAGTCTGGGTGTTGTCTCCATGTGGAATCTTTTACTGGTTCTCTCTGTTAATATAACTGACAGATGTGGTTTTCTTAGGTAGGTCCTGAGAAAAGTCTCTTAGGTGTACATTCACGATTAACTAACCCAGCTAGAGTTAGCCTAATAAAACTATGATGTAGTGAAAAAAAATCAGATAAACATTTAAACGTCATGGTCTCTATAAAGATGAAAAGTGACAAAGGAAGAAGGTGAGTGTTAGGTAACCAGCTATCTGGTCTGCCTGGGGCTGAAGACTTTCAGTCTAACAGTGGGGTGGTCCAGGCAAATTGATCTCACTGGATGTGCCATAACAGTGTGTGGAGTTATATTTCACAAATAATCATTTCTCTACCCAAACAGTGCAGTGTCCTCAAATCCGTGAGTTCAACCCTATCTCTCCAAGTCTCCATTGGTTCGGGAAGCCAAGCATCAATCTGTGAGGAGAGGGAGCATGCGTAGTTTGACAGCGCATCGTCTGCCAGGGTACCACTATTCCTCTTTATCCAGGTAAATATAACCTGAGATTTGAGAAGGCAAATAATTCCCTCAATCCAATGTTGCCATAGCTGTTATTTAATTAGTGTTTCCCACACAGCTGAATAAGTCAATTAGGAAAAAAGCCTTCAGAAGCCGTACTGGTTTTGTAAATAGGGGACACTCTGGTCTCGACTCCTGACCTACCACACCCTGAGGACCATGCTAAACACTCACAGGTGATATTTAAATTTGCCAAAAACATGTATTCATTTCCAAACAATAGAACAAAGAAGAAAACTAAGATAAACATAGGGCATTTCATCATTGGAAGACATTTCCTCTGGCTGTCTAACAGAGGGCAATTTAATTCCGAAAGATTGCAAGTATTGATTCAAGAGCAGGCCCCTAGATACTTAACAGATGAATGAAACCAATGAAAAGGGCACTCGCTGTTCTCATTTCCCAGTACGAGAGAGCAAGTACTAATAAAGGGAGAGAGTTACTTTTAGAAAATGATACTTCCCCCCGAAGATTGCATCTACTGGAAATGTTTTATGAATGTAGGTTGTAGGTTATTAGCATACAACAATACATGACTTAGAAGAGAAAGAGGGCAGACAGTGAGTGGCGTAGGGAAAAGGCCTCCAGATGAGGCTCTGGATAGAGATGGTAGCCTGGCTACCTGAAGTGGAACTGGGCCTGAAGGGAGTTTCGATACTGGGAAGGGCTGTGAAAACGCGCCATCTGCATTTCACTGTTAGCTCTTCTGCTCAGCCACCACACTTCTACTCTGTGGGTCTTGTCAGCTGCACTGTGTTCTGGGCTGCCTAAATGGTCTACACAGGCAGGCAGATCTCTTCCAGGTGTTTATACCGTACATCTATTCACAGGGAAAGTGTGTGTGTGTGTGTGTGTGTGTGTGTGTGTGTGTGTGTGTGTGTGTGTGAGAGAGAGAGAGAGAGAGAGAGAGAGAGAGAGAGAGAGAGAGAGAGAGAGAGAGAGAGAGAGAGAGAGAGGAGAATAAGTGTTGGAAATTGAACCTAGGGTCTTATGCATGCTAGCAAGCACCCTACTCTGACCTAAGCCCCACTGCTCTGTGTTAGTCAGGTATTAGAAGGTCTGAAGGTCACTTGGGATGGACCTCTCCTCATAATCAGCAGCTTGTAAAATCAGGAATGAAAACTGCCGGACTCCAGTATCTGGTCCAAACAATGCCATCTTCTTGATATCTCTGTCCTGGCTACAGATAGGACATTCTAACTACCTGGAGGATCTTACAATTACTTCGAGGTTTTCTGGTAGAGAGCGAAGGCATACTGTGATACCTTCCTTAAAAGTTAATCCAAACAGGCTGTGTTTCCTTTTAAACAATTTCCAAGTATAGTCACCCTACTTTTGATCAACGATAATCAGGGTAAGATTATTCATATCACTAAGTAAGCCAGGAAAAACTTTGTTTACTCAGAAAAAGCAAGACTAATAAATAATTACCTTTCAAGTTGTTTTTTCTTTTTTTTTTCTTTAAGGCAAGGTCTCCCTATGGAGCCCAGGCTGACCTTGAACTTCAGTGCTGAAGTTATTGGCATATGTCATCATGGAAACTCTTAGGAGAGTTTTAGGGTAGCCTTTAAAAAGACCTAGAAATTGGGAAATAGAGCTGAGAACTTATCAGAGTTCACCCCCAGAGCCCGAATATTCGATGAATTCTTCTCATCTTCCAGTTTCTGAGATGTCTTAACGTTCTTGAGCTTGTCAAAAAGTGACTTTCCTACTTTGTACAAGAGAGCCTTGCAAGCCTTGGTCCCAGAAAGTTGACTCAAGTTCCTAGAAATGCTCCTGTCTGATTTGTGCGTGTTGTCCTCAACTGTGATGTTCTGGGAAAAGCCTTGGCTATGTAGTCGATATTTCTAATTATTTTGCCACAAGAAGGACAGATTCTTATTGAACCTATGCAAATAATTACATTGCCATGAAAACAGGAGTATTTTAGGGTTTCTGTCCCTGAGGGATCAGGCAAAAAGTAAAAGATAAATGTTTCATTTGTGATTACAAATTATAATCTACCTAATTTTAATGAACTATAGATAGCTTAAGAGAAAAAACAAATTACTTGCATGAAAAATACAGGACGTATCAACATCAAGAGTATCCCAAATGAAACCACAGTCACAAGCCCAGCCCTGTGGTGAAGGCCCATCGTTTTTGCTACTTGGGGAGGCAAAGTCTGAGGGACTGTAAATTCAAGGCCCTCTTGGACCTCAGAGTGAGTTCAAGGCCAGCCTAGCCAACTCAGGGGGAACCCATCTCAGATTCAACAGTATGTGGAGGACTAGGGAGAGGATGCTCATTGGCAGAGAGCTTGTGTAACAAGCAGGAGAACCTGTGCTCAATCTCCATCAACGCAAACAACAAACCAATCCATCAACCAGCCAAGCAAAACCTGTACTAATTTTCCTTACTTCAGTCAGTCTTAAGGAATCAGTTACTGTTTATCTCATGAATCTATCTGCTTCACCTTCAAGGTTCCAGAAGCCTGGACACCCTGACTCAGCCCAGCACTGTGGTCTCATAGCTTTCTGAGCAACACCACAAGAAGCCCGTTTCCCAGAACACACTTGAATCCTTCTGTGGGTGTCTGCAGGACTTTGGAGGATGTTGGCTACAAGCACTTTGAGAGAATTATGGCAAGACAAAAATACATCAGTGCATACCAAAATCAACATAAAGTTAAATTTAGAAAGAGACATCACAAAAAGAATGGATTTAGTTATATCTGTGATATACAACATTATAAAAACAAACAATTAAACAAAAATCCCAATAAGGATGAAGATTCAAAGTACTTCTCTAGTCTGATGTCAGGATTAGCCTCAGACCATACGATGGCCAGTGAGGATCCTGACATTTTCCATACATATGATATAGTTTCTGAATATTTTTATTGAGTTTTTACCCCACAAATATAACAAAGGAAAGTTTAAGAATATTTTCTTGTGTAACAACACTTCTCATGAAGTTTGGCTTCTTAGAAAAACCCAATTATCTTTTGAACCCTGCGTTTACATGGTAAAAAATCTTTTGTGAGTTTCTAGGGGCCCTCTGGGACATTTGAGTCAATTTTAAGTGCAAAAGATACCATTTAGGTGATCTGAGGCAAGAGGATCATATATTCAAGGTATGTCTGGGCTAAGAAGTGAGCTCAGGATCTGTATAGGTAACTTAGACACTGTCTCAAATCAAATAATCAAATAAAATAATAATAACAATGAAAAAGATGAACAGGACCTCAGTGGTGGCATGTTTGTCTAGCATGTGTGCGGACCTGGATTAAATTCCTAGTACCTCTATCCTGACCACCACCACTACCACCAACAAAAACAAACGAAAAACCTGTTTACAGTTAGGATTTGAGAAGGGAAAATATCAGATGTTGCCTGGATATTTGAGTACTTTGTGAAATCAGAACTTGGAATAAAATGACAAAAGACTTCAATTCACTGTCTGGCACAGATGAAACAATTAAATAAAGCAAAGCAGACTTCAAAAGTAAATGTAGGAGTCACATAATTATAGAAAAAAACCATCCTGACTTCTTCTGAAAATGAGAATATTCAATTTTTAACCAAATAATCAAAGACTGGGAGAGGGCTCACAGTGGGAAAAGCATCCACTCTGCAAGTGTCAGGGCTGGAGTTCAGATCCCTAGAACTCATGGAAAAGGCAGGTGGGTATGGCAGCTGTATGTAACCCCAGCACTCAGGCAGTCTGGATGCCGGGAGCAAGCAGCTAGACTGGCTGAACTGGCAAGCTTTGGGTTAACTGAAGGCCCTGTCTCAGCAAACAAAGTACAAAGTGATCAAAGGAGGTAACTGACTTTGACTTTGTGCCTGCACATGCATGTGCACCCCACACATGTGAACACACACAAGTGTATGTGCAAAATAATTGATGGCATGAAACCATAATGCACAAAACATTATTTTGGAGCCGGGTGGTGGTGGCACACGCCTTTAATCTCAGCACTCGGGAGGCAGAGGCAGGCGGATCTCTGTGAGTTCGAGGCCAGCCTGGTCTACAGAGCGAGTTCTAGGAAAGGCGCAAAGCTACACAGAGAGACCCTGTCTCAGAAAAACAAACAAACAAAAAAGACATTATTTTGGTTAAAACAGTCCTTTCCTTCTTAGGAAGATTTAAAAGTAAACTGTTTCACAATTTTTTAAAAATATGGCTTACTATCCAGTAAAATATGTCATTTTAACACAAAAACAAATGCTAATTTTGTAGTAGTACACTATTGATACTAAATCTTATTTTAAATAAAAAATCTTAGTTGAATTTGCCCAGCCTGCTGGTACATCTACTACACAACTCCTGTACCTAAGGCTTAGGGATCATGGTAGAAGAGGAGGTGGAAACATTGTAAGAGCCCGAGGAACAGGAAGTTTGCTGTGAGTTTGCGTCTCTTAGAAATATCAGAGAAGCTCCACCCATCAAGTCTCATCAACATGATTGTCTAATAAAGACTTACACAAGAATGACATCAACAGACACGCTAACAACACGAAAGGGGAAATCTCATGGGGCCTCAGCCCTAGATAAAGAACTACAGGCAACTAAGGAATGAGATGGGAAAAAATAGTTTTCCCCAGGGAAAACCCCCAGCTTGGTTTTCCAGCCCTGACCAGGAGAAGTACATTAATCACCATAAATCCTTTCAACCTTCCCCATCGAAACTGGCTGTGTACTGTTTCCCCATCACACAGGCTGTGTACTGTGTTTCTCCATCACACAGGCTGTGTACTGTGTTTCCCCATCACACAGGCTGTGTACTGTGTTTCCCCATCACACAGGCTGTGTACTATGTTTCTCCATCACACAGGCTGTGCACTATGTTTCCCCATCACACAGGCTGTGTACTATGTTTCTCCATCACATAGGCTGTGTACTATGTTTCTCCATCACACAGGCTGTGTACTATGTTTCTCCATCACACAGGCTGTGCGCTATGTTTCCCCATCACACAGACTGTGCACTATGTTTCCCCATCACACAGGCTGTGTACTATGTTTCTCCATCACACAGGCTGTTTACTGTGTTTCTCCATCACACAGTCTGTGTACTATGTTTCCCCATCACACAGGCTGTGTACTATGTTTCTCCATCCACACAGACTGTGTACTATGTTTCTCCATCACACAGGCTGTGTACTATGTTTCTCCATCACACAGGCTGTGTACTATGTTTCCCCATCACACTGGCTGTGTACTGTTTCTCCATCACACAGGCTGTGTACTATGTTTCTCCATCACACAGGCTGTGTACTATGTTTCTCCATCCACACAGGCTGTGTACTATGTTTCCAAAGCCACACACACAGGCTATGTAGCTTGTTTTATTCTTTCTTTTCTGGAACATTTATCTTATTTTAGATTAAATGCATTTTCCCCAACAAAACCACATCCTATATTTCTTATATATTTTGCAACAAAGTTGTTTCCCTTTGTCCATATTGATTTTAGTAGGTTTAGTAGATTTATTCCATGTCACATAGTTTCTCATTGTGGCAAAGAACACATTTATATGAACAGATTTAAATGTATGTACACTTCTGGACCACATAAAAACAAAAATCTGAGGCTGACTGTAGCTCAATATGTAGAACTTGCCTACTGTGTGAACAAGGCCTCGGGTTTCATCCCCATCTCCTCACAAAAATGTCTAAGTATGAAGTTAAGTTTAGTCTTAGTAATTAATATTTCAGTAGTTTCTAACCCTATTTAGACACAACCTTGATATTTAATGAATGTTTATTACTTAATTTAGCATAAGTCTAATAGTGTAAATCAGCAGGAGTTTTAGAGAAATGATTTTAAAGTCAACATGAAATGCATTATTGTTGGTAGAAACCAATTCCATTAGATGCCTTACTTTCAGTTAACCCACCTGTAGCTTGAATCATCTCAACATTATTTCCTTTATCTTCCCCTTTGATCCACCATTAAAGCCTTTGGATTTACCTCTAAAACATACCTTGGTCCCGTCTAGTTATTTCTGTCCTCGCCGTCCTCTCTTGCTTGGACCAACAAGCTCTTCCTCACTGTAGGAATCTCTTCTGTTGGTCATAGACATCCATCTAGTCTCCATGGACAAGCCAGAAGGATCTTTGACGATGCATATCAGTTCGCTGTCTCTCCCTCCAATGGTTTCCCTTTCTACATAGCATCTTCTTTTCGTCTTTTACCCCAATTTGGAGACTCTAGCCTTCATCTCTGTCTCTAATCTTGCCTTAGTTTACTCTTCTCTTCACACACTAGTCTAAAGGCTTGTCTGTTATGTTCCTTAAGGTGAGATTTGTTTTTCCACCTGAGAGCATTTATACCTGACCATAATCACAAATTCCTCAAAAACTGTCACCAATCCCCCTGCCCTCCCCAATGTCCCATATCTATTCTCATTCTGCTATTGATGGAATGTGCAATGTCCCACATGAGTTCCTGAGTTTGAACAGTTCATTCTCAGCTGGCAGTTCTGTTTTAGAGGTGTTGGAACCTTTTGAGCATGGGGCCTTGCTCTCAGATGTAGGGCTTCAGGGGTGGTTAACTCTGCCTAGCTCCTAGTCCTAGCTCTCTTTGCTTCCTTATCTGGAGATGTGAGGAAGTCACACTGCAAACTGCCTCTGTTGGGGACCAAGTCAGTTGCCATGCCATCCTAGACATAATGGACCAAAATCATTTAAACTGTGAGCCCAAATAAGGACTTCCTTCTTTAAGTCATTTCTTCCTTTTGTCAGGCATTTCTCATAGCAAAAAGAAAAGCTTTTTATCACCTCTGCTTTTAAAAGACATCCAACCTCCCCTATTCCTATAACATCTGTCCTATCACCTGGCCCAAATCAGCATGCATTGGAGGTAATTATTGTAATAGATTTTGTGTGGCTTTTTCTCAGCAGTCTTTCTTGCTGGTCAATTGATTAATCAGATTTACAGGTAAGCCATTTTCAGCCTCCAAACCTTCCCATCATGTCATGCTCTGTTCAAGATCTTTCCATTTCACTTACAGTAAAACTCAGTTACATGTAACACTCATGTGAACAAGCCTCCCTTCCACCCATCCTGCTGTCTCCCCAACTCTCCCTCTGACTCCTTTCACTCCAGATAGATAAGTTTCCTAAACATTCTTTAAATGTCTTTCTGACCTCTTCTCTCTCAGGGCATTGACACAGTCCATGCCATCTGTCTGGACTGTTTCTCCCACATATCTGTCTCCCCATTAATTCTAAATCCCTATCACTTGGAAGTTAAATATGACCTTTACTCTGACATGGCTGCTCATCTGTCCTATTTTTCTCCTTAAAATTGTCATTATTTGACACATTTCATATTTACCTATCCTAGTTAGCTTCAACTGTCAACTTGACAAAGCCTAGAGTTGTCTAAGGGAGTCTTAACTGAGGAATTGTGCAGATGATACTGACCTGTGACCGTCTTGAGAGAATGTCTCTGTTGTTAATTGATGAGGGAGAGCCCAGCCCACCGTGGAAAGCAACAACTTGCCTAGGCTATATACGAAAGCTAGCTAAGCAGGAGTCTGAGAACAAGCTGATAAGCATCCCCCCCCCCACCCCGCACCGTTGTTTCTGCTCCAGGTTCCTGCCTTGAGGTGCTTCCCCAATGTCCCTCAATTGTGCATTGTTACTTGGAAGTGTACAATGAAATTAACCCTTTCTTCTCCCAAGTTGATTTTGGTCAAAGTGCTTTATAGCAGCAACAAAGGCCAAACTGGAATACTTGTTTGTTACTGGCCTGTGGTTTACACTGTTATACTATCTGAATAAGATGTGTGTTCTGATTGCGTAGGCCTTTTCTGTTCTGTTTACACTTTATATCACCTATCTACGCCATCACCAGACACCTAGGGAGTTTTCAATATTCATGCCCAGTGAATGAACATGTCTCTGGGATTTTCAAATATGTGAGCTCCCTCTCTCTTCCTTTTTTTTTTTTTTTTCTGAAATAGGCTTTCAACATTGCATACCTGGCTGGCTTTAAATTTACAAACTCCCTGCCCCAGCCTCAAGTCCCTGGTTTGTATTCCCATCCTGAATTATAAAGTTTCTCCAGTTGGTTTCCTGATGTTTTGAGTCCTATGATCTTTTCTTGTGGAACCCCTCATGCATTTCCTGAATTTCCCACCATTTCTCTCCTTTCTTTACCAGGTGCCAGCATCACACTTCTAGTTATGACAACTAACAGCATCCCCAGACATTGGCATGTATCCTCTAGGGGGCATAATTGCCCCAGGTTAAGACTCAATTCAAGTATAATTTCTACCAAGGTTTAATGAATGCCCATTGACTTTGAGCTAGGATCTATGTTTCTGTGATTAGTGATCTGGGTTCATCCCGATCTCCAGGTGTTTAGTCTTAGGGGGTGTATATGAGTAGCCTTTTCATACATCTATATAACAATTGTCCTCCTTTTTGTCCATGAGCATTAGGTTTTGATGTCCTCAAATGCAGATGCTATGACTTTCCCCCTTATCCTGTGTTTTTAGCTTCATGCTACCACCCAAAGGGATCAATGCATGCTTTTGAATGATTGAATGAACAAATGCCTCTAACTCCTTTTGTCTAGGTAAACACACTCAAATAGAGAAGCTATAAACCTCCCCATTCTGGTACTCAAGAAATCAACTTAGGACTTTGGCAATTGTAGGATAGCACAAGCAACTGTACAGTAGAAGATTCTGAGAAGTGGAATTCTGAAAATTAGAGCCAAGTTCCCTGCTGTACAGAAGCATCTCATATCAAAGAGAATCATTCAGAAGTCAGTGCAAGCTGAGGTGCTTGGGTTTGTTTGAATAATTTAGGCATTCTACATCCAATGCACTAGGGCTGGGCA